AAGCAAGAATTTGAGGTAGACGAAGACTTGGACTCTAGGTAGTGCCAATTTAAGTTGAATAAAAAAAATTGGCTTCAAGTTTATTTCAAAACTATAAAGCTTGTTTCTATAGGTTTTGACATGACTTTGCAATCATTGTGCAAAGTAAGACTTTGTATTAATGACTTTGGATTTATGCAACAAAATTAGGGCTAGCACTATTAGCTAATTTGTAAGATGTATATCACATCTATAGTTCAATTTTTTTTAAAGAGTAGTTGAATTAGTGTGTTAATTTTGTGTAAATTTTTATATTATTTTAATAATTTAATTAAAAGATATTCAATTATTAATTTAAAGAAATATCAAAAGTTGGTAGTTTAAAATTTGATTAGATTTTTTTAATATCTAAAGATCTATTTAGTAGAATAAAGAGAAATTTAGCATGATTTTAATAGACTAATATATTCAGCTATACACCAATTTGGATCTAAAGTTAATGGCTAGAGACAAAGAAATTGTTACTCAAACTTCATTATCGACCTTCAAGTTGATAATCTAAGGACACTAGTGCAGTTCTTTTGTATTTTTCTCATACTTTATAAGTTGGATTGGATTGAAAATGTTTAAGCATATAGAAAACATATTATTTTACTAATATGCAAAATTTTGCACGAGCTAGACAATTGAATTAGGAATTACAACTAGTTGAAGCTTGATAACTTTGAGTTAGGATTTGAAGAGAAAATTGGAAGTTACAAAAAAGAGCAAATAACAAGAAAATTAGTGTTTGTATTTACTTGAAGTAATTAAGAAGAGTATTTCTGATTACTTTGCATTGGCTTGTTTTGATCACAAAAATTGAAGCACTTTCCAAATTTGTTTGTTTGTTTGTTTATTTATTTTATTTTATTTTTTTCTTTTTTAAATAATAATTTGAAGAAAAAATTATATTACCTTAGATTTATATAAGATTAATTTAAAATAAAGAAATGGCACTAAATTTAATAGTAAAAAGATCTATTATCTTATTGAATTAGAGCATCAATTTTGAAGAATAATATTAAAGGTAAAAAATCAAATTTTAAAGGCTTAAATCATGAAATAGATGTATTGTCAAATATTATTTTTAGCAAGACTAATGAAATTTGATTTGAAAATTATAATCAATTGTGGTACATTAATTTGTGAAGGTAGGTGTATTAATAGATTTAGAAATTTTAAATCCCTTTGATTCTTATTTAGATAATATTTTTAATTTATTAATTGATTACTACAGATAAATATTGAATGGAAGGTTATGAAAGGTAAAGAGGTCAGTTTGGATAAATAGTTTAATTAATGGTTTAATTTTTAATTTAGATATAATACATTTATGTAGATAAAAAAATTGAGATGAAATTTATTACATGGATTGGATAAATATTAATTACATGAATGTTGATTGAATGGATATATGAATCTTTTATAATTAATAGATTGATAACTAAAATTGGTCTATAATGTATAGTAATTAATTCAAAATAATTTTTTTATACTAATTTTTGTATAAGAATTTTAAGATATTTAATTAAGTACATTTAATTCTTCTCACATAGATGTAAAAACCAAACTCATGAAATTTTAGAATAAATTTTTTTTATTTTTACAAGTCTCAACTATGACTCCAATTAAATTTGAAATAAAATATTTTGAATCACATTGCTTTATTTATATATTTTTTAATTTTTTATTAAATTAAATATAATAATGTAATTTTATACTATATAATAAATTTAATATAAAATTTACTTAAGTAATTATTTATCATTATAGTTTAATATATTTTTAAAAAATTTACACTAGATATGTAATTAACAAAAAATTTATGATGTATGAATCATGAAAGTGGTTTTAATGCCAATTTCAATCTATACAAGATAATAATTTAAGAAATTTCCAAAACATAAAGTTAATTGCATTTATGCATATAAAAGTTGTTCAATAGTTTGACAATATTACCACTACTACTTTAATCTTTTTATCAAACTCTTATCTTTAATTAAAAATTTACTATTATAATATTCTATTGTGAATAGTACATGCAACTATGTCATTTTTAAATTATATCCAACATCTATTACAAAAATAATGATAGAAGCTTCTTTCAAGAGACATCTATTCATTTAAATGTGTTCTTTTATATTGAATTTTTCTAGTAGTGAACACTTCTTTGGATGCACACAATCCTTTAGATGCACTAAAAGTACAACTTTATTTCAACAAAATAATTTTTTTAATAATATATTATCACATTAAATAATATAATATGATATAATATGTTTTATCATTATTATATAAAATTTAATCTAATAAATATTTTAATATAATTTACACATATAATTGAGATATATTAAATATATAATATTATGTATATTTTTCTTTTTAGTTTTTTATGCCAATTATTTATTATCTTATTATTATTTTTATATCAATTACATATTTTACCACCTCATATAATTTAATCCATAAACATACAATTTCATATGTATAATTTAGATTTTTATTTTAATACATGTATTTTTTAAGTTATTATTTTCAATGTTTTTGTATTCACTTAAATATATATACAAATAATAACATATATATGGAATGCAATATGTGTTTATATATATATATATATATATATATATAATTTTTTTCATTAACTTGTTTTTGGCAATAGGTTTTGTGCAATATATTTGATTTTGAATAAGTGATTTGTCATTTGATTACATACATATCAGGAATTATCTTGCTTCTAAAATATGTAAACACTTCATATTTAGGAAAAAAGGTTAGAAACCTTAACTTCTAAATATTTTGATTGGTTAAAATTATGTTAGCTTTTTACTAACAAAACAATTCCAAATGCCCCAAGAAGAGAAGATGAGGTGTGACATGACTTTTTGTTTTGCTTTTCTATTTCTACATACTGTTCTCAAATTAAGTTTAACAAACTCAAAATCTATAATTTACATATTCAACATACACAACATGATTGCTGTCAAATAACCAATCTAATTTTTCCATAATAAGATTTTGACCATTCATTGAATAAGCACATGTTGATGATGTTACCATATTTTTTTGTCAATATTATTAGTAAGCAGTTTTAGTTTTTTTGAATTACTATATTGCACTCTTCCTCAATCTCAATTAAATATTATATTATTCTAACACTCTCTGTAATATTGATTTTTTTAAATTTTACCCTGAATAAAATTATTTGATCTTTTTGGTTTTTTTTTTTTTTTTTTTTTCATATATATATATATATATATTCGTACATGAATACATAATGTTATTGCTGGATTTTGAACTCACTGCTAAAAACCGACCTTGAATATCCATAAACAAACAAATAGTTTTTATGTATATATATATATATATATATATATATTATAAATATCCTATAAATATCTTATAGACTTATAATAAGTTTTTTGTATTTGTATTTTAAATTCTATTTCATATATATATATATATATATATATATATATACGTATATGAACACACATACATACATACATGTTTGAGAATCCAATTTTGATAAAAAAATAACTACATTTCTGATATACACTATTGAGTTTGTAGCAATTAATTAAATGATATATACTAGGGCTTCCAATGGAAATGGTAAACACATACTGTTAAGGATTTAAATATGTAATAATATATCATCCACAGGATGACAGGGTGGATATTCCATCCAACACCATTCATCCATATTTGTTCATTTAGATGTGACCGAAGAGAGGTCTGTCTCATCGTCCGAGGAAAACAGACATGGGCCCTTGTCGACCCCCTCGTCACTACGTGTCGCAGAAACCTCCTTGTTCAATCGACTGGCTCCGCCATCGTGGGCCGTCGGATCGTAGCTGCGGCTCAGATGCAGTCTCAACCGCCGATCGGATTTTTGGGAACGGAGGGAGAGAACGTAGGGGAACTAGGGGACGGGCAGGGAGGTTGGAGGCAGGGCAATTTGAAGCTCGCAAGGTTGGAGGCTGGGCAGTTTGAATAAATCATGATAAATAAATGACTATTTTTGATTTTGTTTTAGAAATATAAGCTCTAATTAAAATAGGATAAAAAACAGTTGCAATAGAACTACTGCTGAAAAATTTAAGATGAAATTCGTATTAAACATTAGAAATTGGAAGAAGATCCAAGTTACATACTTGTTTTGTAGCATTATAAGATATTTGTATAACATTAAAGATAATATAATAAAATAATGGTGTATATATATATTGATGACCTAAATAACCTTAAAAGAAGTGAATAAAATAATAAACTTAAAGGAAAATAAAAATTATTTTTGCATATACATATAATATAAATCATAGAAGTTTCTAAGTTTGCATTTAATGGATTTTTTTAAGTGACATATATAATAATATATATTTTTAAATAAATAATAAAATAAATTAAATAAATGAGATAACTATAAAAAATTCATTGTACCTTTTATGTTATTATTTTTATAATTACTAGGGTGTCCCCGAGTTTGAAGCAAGAGTGAAGGTTGAGAAGTGGGATTGGAGGCAGCCCAACATATTCAGCACACAAGTGAATGCAGATCAATCTCCAAACCTCCAACCTGCCATGCCGCCAACCTCCCGCTCTTCAAACTGCCCGGCCTCCAACCTGCCTGCCCGCCCCTTGGTTCCCCTGTGTTCCCTCCCTTCGTTCCCAGAAATCCGATCGGCGGTTGAGACTGCATATGAGACGCAGCTGCAATCTGACGGCCCACGATGGCGGAGCCAGTCGATTGAACAAGGAGGTTTCTGCGACACAATTCTAGGAGGCTTGTCGACCCTTCTGAGATGGCAGATGCTCACGTGGCACTTCTACCCGCCATTTCTTCGTCTTCAAGCCAGTCTCAAAGCTATGTTCCCGCGCTCTCACGCACGGCCCAGATCTCATCCATCTGCTGCCTGGACGGTCCATACGTCTCCGAAATTCGAAAGGCGGGCTCGCTCATCTGCCCTCGCTCGACCCTAAGCTCTCTGTCTGTCAATCCAGCTCGTCCCTGCGCTGTTGCATCTTGTGCGAGTCGTGCAACTCTTGGTTTCAACTCTCGCCATCAGAATTGGGAGGTGGGTTTGCTTCGGAATTCCGAGTAGACCTTGGGATCGGTTGCAGGAATGCGGTTTGGTTCGGAGGTTGAATCGCTTTGAGTGGTTTTGGTGATGGAGGTTGCGGCGTTGGTGCCTGCCGCGATGGAGGATGTGATGAAGCCGTCGCCTCCACCCTCGCCTGTCGCTGCCACGAAGAAGTTGCGCAGGCTCAGGAAGGTTACGGAAGCCGAGATTGCTAAGAATGACGGGGTTGGTGAATGTGATGTGGTTCCTGAGAAGGTTGTTACTGAAGTTGACGAGGTACTGGAGCGTCGAGAGACGGTAGAGGAGATTCTGAAGCGGTTTGGGAAGGGAGGAGATGTGGTTGGCGAAGGAAGCAACAAGAGGAAAACTGTGCAGAGCACTATTTCGACATCTGTATTGAGCATGGCCCTACCCAGGGGGGCTACTGACATGGATGTTTCTGGTGCTAAGGATGATGCAGCCCTAGCGCACATTGGAAACCCCACGTTGAAGGATGGCGAAACCGAGAATGGCGGTCTGGAACATGAAAGCCAGGAGTTAGAGCGTGCTGCCGGTTCAGAAGGTGATTATCTATCATGTGTGTAATGCTTACGAAACGTATGTGTATTTGAATTCAAAACGTAGTTATGGTTACTGTGCTGTCAATGTTCTGGTGTGTAGGTCGCGAATTCTTTCATGATGACCATGTTGTCGGATATCCGATCACGAATCGCGATATTTAGCTACGTGGAGCTGACTATCGTGTGTTCTCTATTACGTAGAGTTGACAGAGGCTGTGCCTTTCAGCAAGAGGAAGAGATCAAGCACTGTGAAGAGGTGCTCATCTCACGTGACTGGCATGACCTTCGGGATTTCAGTTTTTGAGGATGAGGGTGATTCTATGGAGAAGTCTGATAATGCGTCCGGAAAGGACATTGAGGTTCAATTAAGCGATGAAGAAGATTCGGTTCCAGAGAAGGGCCACGGGGTTGCTGACGAAGTTATGAAGGATGGAGCAGTGGAAGGAGATTCCGAGAAGGGCAGCGAAGCCAACGAAGGAGGAGAATATGGAGGATCATGTATTGGTTGGTCTGATGGTTGGTCTGGAGAGGGGATGTCCATGGACAGCATCTTGGAGAAAGCCAGGAAGATGGTCGCTGACATGTCTTCTGCAGGAACTGAAACTGCTAAACCTATCGTTGAGAAGAAAAAATCAATTGATGTCATTGACGACCAACACGGGAAGAAGAAGAAGGTACTTGCCATTCACCTTGTTTACTTTGAATGTGTCATATACTGTGAAGATTTAGCCTGACTCTTTTCCATTTATGGTTGGTGTGACATGTTGGGTATGCTGCAGAGTAAGAAGGAAGAAGAGCGATTAAAGAGGGAAGACATCTACGCTGAATCTCAGAGGCTTCTGCGAGGTGATAATGGCTCTTTTATTTTAACTTTTCTATGTCTCATCTTTTTCTCATAGCAGAAAGGTATAGTTAATGCCATGTCTGATGCGGAGGTTGGGCTAATTTTGTAAATCGAAGTTATTTGCGTCGGTTTGCAGAGTCGAAAGGAGTTGCATTTGTGGCTCCAGCTCCAGTGAAGAAATCGGTTTCTAGCGTACTGGAGAAAATCCGTCAAAGGCGACAACAACTAGGTTGCAGGTACATACTGTGATCGCGTTTCAAAAAATAATTCTTCGACCTTGTGGATTATTATTTTAACAGCAGCTTTTGCCACCAAATATGGGTAGCTTTCCACCAATATATATACACACACACACACACACGCATTTTTTTATTTTTATTTTTAGCTGGCTTCTGTCCAAAATAATGTTCAGTACTGAGATTATGTAGGCATCTCGCCATTTTTTTGCTTTAGCAGTGGTTCAGCTTCATTGCACAAGGATGAGACAAAGGAGGTGTCACAACGAGCAATCGAGGATAGGAACAATACTTATGTAGATCTGACAGTGGACGAGGAAGCGGATATCGAGATCGAGATCTTTGGCTCAACCACTGTGAGAGTAGGTTCTATTGTCCAAGTGCATAACAATTCGACGCGAGGAGATCCCGAGATTTATTTTATGACGGCTGAAGTGTTTTTTGTCACTCACTGCACGATTTATTGTGGATTATGAACTTACATTAGCTCTCATTTGAATGACATTCAGCACCATTTCCTGAAAGGCTAGTTGATTAAATGTTAACGGGTTATGCAGATCAATAAAGCTATCCAGAGTGCAGAAGTTGACGTAGATCTACAAGATGATACTGCTGGTGACGAGAAGAGTCCACAAGCAGTTGAGAGTCAAGGAAGCCTGTTTCAATCTGAGCTGGTAAGAATACATCAGTTCATTAGTAGAATGGTAACATTAGTCTGATAATAAACCTCGAAGTTGCGCATGGACTGACTGCTGCGAGTTATTGCATATTAGCTCTAACTTGCACCTCAATGTTCATGGTCAGGCATCTAGCAGATCAGAAGAAAAAGATTTAACCTTGGAGTTGAGTCAGCGCATCATGAACACTCAGGTTTATTCTATATTTTCTACTCTGTCAAAAGTCTGAGAGGCATTTTCGAAGTTCACGGACCTATCAGTCTGCAGGTCTGACATGACTCCAATTTGAACATCTATTTTGGATACTGACATTTTTGTGTTCCTTTTCACCTATTGACAGGATCTGTTGTGTACCTCACAATTGAGCCCTCCAACTGAGGCGAGTCTCGAAACTACATCATTTGAACCTGTGGTTGCTGTGGATCCTGACTTCATGTGCCTTGAAACTCAAGCACTGGATTTGGATGAGGATTTGATGCATAGGTATGTGATGCAAACAGGCCATAACAGTACTGTCATTCTGATGTGACATAACGAAATCATGTCCTTGGTGGAGACAGCTTGAATGTGGAAATCCTGGATGCATCTCATCTTTTGAAGATCTGCACCTTGTTGTTCTACAGGACAATGCATGCCAATCACCAGAAAGAAACCAAACAAGCAGGTCTACAGCCATTAGCTCAATCGGAGGTCTACACAACAGCAACACATGTTAGGGGTTTGATTGATGACGAAGCCGAGGATGAGGATGAAGACATTCTAGCAGAGAATGCCGAAGAAGAAGAAGAAATTATTGGAGATGAGGAGGATTTGCAGGACCTTATTGCAACCACTGAGAAGGAGAAGGCTGGTGATAAAGCTCGGCGGGATGCCCTGCACCGCAAGTGGCTTGATCAGCAGGTTAGAGCGCTCAAAATTTGTTAAAATGAACTACTTTCCTAGTGCATCTCTTCAATAACTTACGATTCAAGAGCAGCCTGTCAATGGTTTACTCGTTTCAGGCACTCTAAAGACGTTGTAAGCATAGTATGCACGCTAGATTTCTAGATAGAGGATGTATCATGATCGTTAAGAAGCTGCAATCAGTATTAACAGGAGGTGAGTCAAACTTTGCAGGACACTGAACAGACTGAAGACATACTAGAGCGGTTGCGAACAGGCCGGAGCACAAGATGGAAAGGTCGGGACCGAGTTGTTAGCTGTTTAGATGAAGATGACCTTTTAAATACTAGAGAGTCTGAATCTCTGGACAATAACAGCAGTCAAGCAGGAGGCATTGAACCTTTTGCTGAGGAGGACCCTATAGCTGAACTCTCAACTAGTTTAAGGCAGAAAATGAAAAGTCAAGGCTTAGAAATGGATTGTCTTGACGAGTACGAGAATGCCGAAGAGATACCCACTGAGGAGCTTGCCGTTGAGGACGACGAGGATCATGAACAGTCGATCATAAGAAAACGTATGCTAGAAGAATCGGTAAGTGGTACTCGTAAAGTCTCATAGGGTGACTTGTTTTTCTTTTCCTTTTTTTTCCTTTTCTTTCCTGTTTTATTTGTATAGCTTCGAGGGCTAGTTTGTCATGTGCCCTAACATTTTGGCTCACAGTTCTAACAGCCTCTTGTTCTGGTACAGGAGGAACAACTCGCGTTTATGACCCCTGCTGAGGATGAGAGCTCCAGGGAAGTTCTGCGTCTCATTAACAAAGTAAATGTGGGCAACTTGAAGACGAAATCTAATCCAGGTAAAACTGATTGGCAATGCTTTCGAATATGGCATCCTCTTCGAAAATGCAAGTTTCCATTCGTAAGCATAGTTTTCTTTTCGTAGCAAATAGAAGTAGTTGCTTGTGAATGAAAGTAGGAATTGTTTCGTTTCGACTGTTGATGAGTGAGTAAATATACTTGGTGTTTTATGTAGGTCATTCTGAATTTCGGCCATTAGGTGGTACGCATAATTCATCTCTTCCTTCGAAGGTATCATATCATCCCCCTAACTGATCAGCATCTGCGGCCTTCGAAACCGTTGAGTGATGCTTCACATGTGTCTTCTGTCTGCACCATGTATGTGCTTTATCTTTGAATTCCCATAGTAAATGTGCCTCTGTGACGTGCAGCCATCTTTTCTTGGACGAAGTGTGTCCTCATCTTCACTACTTCCACCAGCTCATAGGCAAGTCGGCTCAGGCGGAAGTTCACGTTCGTTTGTGTTTGGTCGCGATGACAGTAATAGTGGTTCTGAATTCGCCCCTCCTCAAGTTCAGGAATCAAAGGTACAAATTTTATTTGGCTTATGAGTTGATCATGTCGAAAAGCTGCCGAAAGTTTCTAAAGAATAGGTTAAAAAAGTAGATCAATGATAGAAGACTGTCTGATTGGGGATGGTTGGCTTGACAAATCAGAATACTGGTAATGCCAATAATGCACTTGCGAAGGGAGTTAGCTCAACATCGACAAAAGATAAGATACGTCCTGCTCAAACGACAAGTGGACCTTCGCTTTTTCAGATGCTCAAGCAACAGTCAAAAGAACTTGAGCAAAACGGGAAAGAGAGCGCATCGACGATTGCCAAGAAGTGGGGCAGCAACACTGAGGCATTCTCAATGTTTGCCAGTAAAAAATCAGTTAACATATTGGGGCGCAAATAGCATCATATAGAGGAGAGAACTGATTTTTGGATATTACAGCTTATGCCCTCCCATTGAGGGCAATACTTCAAAGTAAATTTCAAGCTATGTAACGCACCCTGTACTATATTCCAGATTGAAGTAAAGTAAACTAATGATTCCGGGTACGCTCCCTATCCAAGTATCTTGCTTTTGCTAAGAAAACCAGTAGTGACAGCATCATCATTCTAGATAGTCTGAAAACCGACTAACTGTATAATGTACAAGAATTTAAGTGGCACGACCCACAGATCAGAGATATAAAGTTGCAAATTTTCACTTCTGGACATGATTGTGTCTTAACAGCTACGCATGTTTGTGTCTGCTCACAATTCAACCTTAACTAAGTCTGTTTCCAAATCCAATTCCTGTTCAGGACACGAATTACGCCTCTCACCAATATTCGCTTGATAATTCACGAGCCAATATATCTCGCCCCGATCAAACGCTGCGTGTGGGAAGGACATGAAATGCTAATTGAAGACGACTAGCCACCACATTATAAGCTAGACAGTGAAAGTCTATTGCTTCCGCATGTTACGGCCGGCCCGAATAACTTCGTCGACAAGAAGAAGCTGGGCAGCAATCACAGGTGCTGAAGAGATGATTTGTCGCTTAACGGAGTAATTATCGAAAATTCCTTGTACATTCGGGTCAATTGGATACCCTGTAGTGTGGTCCAAACCGACAACGTTGCCAGCGTCGTGCTCTGACTCAAGATTAATCAAAACATCCTGCGTGTCGAGCCCGGAGTTGTCAGCTAGTGTCTTGGGAATAACTAAAAGGGCATCGGCAAAAACTTGAACTCCCAACTGCGCTCTTCCTTGCACCTTCCTCCGAACATTGTTCAACAAATGCTGCCGGGCGGCAACTTCAAAAGCTCCCGCACCAAGAATCACAGCTTCATCCTCAATAGTATTCTTGACAGACCTCAGACCATCTCGGATTGCATCCTTGATTTGTGCAATCGTATAATCATTTGGTCCAGTAATAAGGATGGTGCAGGAATGGGGGTTCTTCACGTTCTCTACGAAAGTATACTTCTCCTCGCCTAGAACATGCTCATAGACAACGCCAGCCTCACCGAGAACATTTGGAGACATATCCTCAACAGACTCGACAGCCTCTCCGCCACAGGTCAGTATAAGCCGCTCCATGTTCCTGCGCTTCGCCCTCCTCAGGGCCACGATCCCCTCTCGCGCAAACAAATCCAGTGATACTGGATCTATTCCCTTCTGGTTGATGACAACGAAGTTCTTGTCTGTGCCATCACAGACTTCCTTCTTCAGCTTGATGATCTTCATCGCCTTCTCGTCCACAGAGCGACGCTCTGCTGCCACCATCTTCTCTCGCTGCTCGGCGTTGTGGTAAAGAAACCCGGCATTTATTTCACTCTTCTCATACTCCAAAGACACATTGCAGGTGAGAATGTAGCAATTCTCCACTCGCTTCTTCATGTCCGGGTGACGAGCACCGTGGTCCAGCACAAGGCCCTCCACTAGACGAGTGTCAGAGTCGAACTTGTGTCTCATATGCATGATCTCCACCATGAATAAATCAATCGCCTCCTCTGGTTTCTGCACACACAGAACGGCCTTGACGACAATCTCAGTGAGCTTATCTGCGAGTTCCTCGTGAACTTTCGTCCTGAGCGTCGTCCGGGCGACCACTTTGAGAAGTTCCTTGTCAAGCTGTTCTCCAACTGCAAGTGGAGTCTTGAAAGTCTCTAGAAACTCGAGAGTAGCTTTCGTGGCAATTTCAAAACCGTCTACCAGCACTCGGGGGTGCATCCCTTCAGAAATAAACCGCTCTGCTTGCTTCATGAGCTCCCCAATGACGAGCACCGTGGACGTCGTTCCATCTCCACTGATGTCATCTTGCGCAACAGCTGTGCGGGCGATCATTATGGCTGTTGGGTTTTGGATTTGCATTTCCTTGAGCAATGTGTTTCCATCTTTGGTAAGCTTGATGTCTCCTGACCCGCCTACGAGCATTTTGATCGTGCCCTTGGGGCCAAGATTCGTTTTGAGTACATCCTGCAGTCCCTTCGCTGCATTTATGTTCATGTGAAGAGCAGCTGATTTACTCAGCATCTCCGCATTCGGATTCACCACCCTGATTGCCATATTCACTTACGCCTTCACTCATCCGTGCCGAAATGTTAAAATTCTTACACTCCACCTGGAATCGCCTACAAATGTGGTGACAACCTTCCCTGCAATGCCACAACCAGCAACGATCAGTTGACCAAACAGCCAACAAAAGGAGAAACGAAGTAGAGGAAATGGGGATTTTAATCCACTATGACGTCTCAAAAACGACCCAAATCAAATAAATTCACGTAAAAAAATGAGATAAAACAAATGGAACATTTTAAAAGCTTTATAAAAGATACATTTTTCAAATAAGTTTTAAAAGAAAAAAAAGAATCACGGAAACCTGAACCTCACCGATCACAAAATCAGCGAAAAATCAAGCTATCAAGACTTAGCTCCACGAGCACCACAAAGCTCTAAAGAACATATTCTTGGAGAAAACCATCCACCCAACCCAGAGAAAGCGATGAAACCAACAATGCGAGCCCGATCGTGGGTCTGTAGAAGCGCAGACGTAATGAAAAGCGGAAGCTACGGAGCATCGAATCGCAAAGCATGCGAGGCACCGATGAATTCACCCAGCATTGGAAGCAACATTGAAGACAACCCCCCAGGGGAAAGGTGGGTGGTAAATCGGGGGTGCAGAGATTGTCATACCGATCGAGGAAATGGTTCAGTTGGGGTTTCGGACTGTGCAAATCTGCGATAGGGTTCGTGGTGATCGATGAGCCCCTTGCTTGGAGTAGTCGCAATTTGCCGAAGAAATCAGTTGCGGAGGTTAAAAAGCTTTTCAGGTTCTAAGGCTTTGGCTTCAGGGCGCTGGCTTCAAGCTTCGGAACAGAGTCGGTTTGGATGAATATTTTTCCGACGAACAGATGTTGGTTGCGGATGAGATATAGCGTCCAACGAGAAGAGAATATACCTTTTCAAATGTAGCATTTGATGGGTTATTTAGACACATCATATTCTTTATTATGGAGTGCATGGATCTACTTTAATATATTTTGAACTGTGGAAAATTCAATGGGTGTGGTATATCAAAATTAAATAAGAAAAACTCCCAGTATCTATATATTAAGATCACTCAAGGGATACAAGTGGTGGCTCTTATTCATCATATGCACCCCTCTTGGTTTTTATCAAAAAGCTTAACATTGTTTGGAGTTTGAAAAGGAAGTTTTACAAAATGTGAATGAGTTCAGAAAAGTCTTGCATGGACACAACGGCGATCTCATTAGCTCCATGCATTTCTCTTTGTTGTAATTCACAAAAACTTAACAAAACATAAAATTTCAACTTCAAGCTTACAAATGAGGAGGGAATTTGGGAATCCGTCACAAGAGGAGAGTCCACCTTTGCAAGAGTTTACATCATAGTAAAGAAGAGCAAATATTGTTGGAGGAATTAAACGAGATTGAAAGAATTTTGGATGATGTGCAAATCAAGAGAATTAATCTAGACGAAGGGAAGATACATACAGTTTTGCAACAATTTGAGGAAATTTGCAAAAGATATGAGATTAAGGGACTATTAGTCTTGTGAATTGTGGCGCTTTAGTAGTCACTTTATCATAATGTACTAGTGGAACATCGAATTTTGAATCTATCTGTAGATCGATGCTTCATGTATATGAGAGTTTGAAGTTTGATTATTTTTGCTATTTTTTAGATATTGAGTGTTGTATTTTTTTTTTCTTAGGTGTGTGGGAATTTATAGGATATTTTTTGCAAATGACTTGTGAATAGTAAGAAAATATTTTTCCAATTTACAAGTATTTTTCAAAACAAATCAATAAGACTTTTGTACATTTGGAATTTTTGAATTTTTGCCACACAAATGTTTTTGCAAAAATTGAAAACATCAAATACAATAATTCAAATCTTAAGTCTAACAAATATGAAGTGACAAATTGTATTGACAAATATTTATTATAATTTTCTCATATATTCAATTCTCAAATTGTATTTCCTTAAATCAAATCTCCAAATTTGTCACAATAGTAAATAAAAAGCCATAATGTCGTGATTTATGTTCACATTATATTTATTTATTTATTTTCTTACAATTGTAGTTCATCTTCTATAGAAAGCTTAGGAGGTGTGCATCCATCTATACCTTCAGGCATGAATTAGAAGCTTGGCTTTACCATAGTTTCTATCATATTAATATCAAGATTTGAGTAAGTTCCACATCTTGTATTGAATAAATATCATACACGAATCAACTGAAAGGAGTTAATTGGAAAATTGGATGAATTCATTGAGAACCACTAACATGATGATGGATCAAGATTCATATGCACTATCTTTTATTTCACTTCTGTTGTTAGTAGAGGTGGTTCAAAGTTGTCACAATGATGATTAGATGATTTTTATAAGTATTAGATGATTACTAATTGACATCCTAATGTTGAGGATTTCAAAGTTTTTTTTTGAATTATCTCTTGCTTCAAGGATTAATAAAGCATGTTAGTCCATATTTATGCCTAAATTATATTATAACATAGTAAAAGATAAGTTGAATAAAGACGCCCTAAACTGTTATTGAAAATGAAGCATGTGTTTCTATATAAAATTAAGATTATTGTTTAGAGAATTATGTATTTTTTTAATGAACTTGCTTATTTATTTGTGGAGGTCCATGGCTGTGACTAACAAAGTTCATGCCATAACAACCAAAATCAAGCAAGAAGAAGTCAACAAACTCAACTTTCTGCTTCAATATATTCATGTTGATTTTTTCAAAAGTCTCTAATTTTGACCCAACTTTTGTGTATTTCGACATACACTATGCAGGCTAAATCAATTACATTTTTTTTTTTATTTTATTTTTTTATTACAGTCTCTCTTTTATTCATATATATAAGACTAATATATTTTATTATTTCTTTGCTTCAAGAATTGATTAAGTATGTTGGTCCATATTTATTCATATACACATATATACTATGAAAAGATTGAAAGTAATTTTAGCCATGTTAGAACTTTTTGACATGTCCACCTCAAAAAATGTGGTTTGCATGAGATTAATCAATATTATATTATTGGTACATTTTGATAGAAGAAAGAGTTTATTATATAATTTAGGCTTCAAAAAAAGGTGTAAGAAAAAACTTGTTAAGAACCATCAATTCTTGCAACTATGCTTAGCAAGGTAATTTTGCATTGTTTACATCCTCCACCTCTCATATTGGAGTTGGTTTGTCAAAACTTTAGACAATAGAATAAAAGAGTAGTGCAAATGCTTATCCATGAAACAAATATTTATAAAGAAGATCCATGCATCTTGATATATTTGATGTTGTTCAATTTTTATTAAATTTATTTTATTTCTTTAGTTTTGACTGCAATATGTTATGTGTAATGTCCATTCTAAGGCATGTGGTACTGCATGATGCAAGTTTGCCAAGAACAAGTGGAACTTCATTAGCAATGAATTAGAGCTAATAAAACTTATAACTTAATAGTTTATCTTAAATTTTAGCAAGAAAATTATTAGAGGAAAATTTGTTGAAAACTTGATATTCATTCTGCAAATTACGTTAACTTCTACAAAAAAGAACTTTTGTTTATTCTAAAAAAAAGAAATTTCCAATTTGTCTTGTATTTGCAATAACAATAAACAAATCCCAAGAAGAATTGGTGAAGTACATTAATTTGGATCTACAACAACCTATTTTTTTTCCATGGTCAACTTTATGTGGCACTCTCTTAACATACTTCCTCTTATTCTATTAAGATTCTTCTTTTTAGAAATTAAAATTAAAATTCCATATTTAATATTATTTTTTAAAAGTTTTAATTAGATAAATATTAATATTTTATATTTTATATTCTATATTTTAATAATTTATTTCTTTATTGACTTTAACACATCTTTGAATTTCTTAATATATTTTTATGATTTTTTTAATATAATTTAATATAATATGATTTTATTTCTATTTTTTTATTATATTATATTTGTATTTAAAAAATATACTTTGGCTAAAAAAATGCTTCATTTGAATCATACTTTATGTGACAATAATATAGATTCATCTAGTCTATATATTAAGATTGCTTAAGAAGACAAGTGGTGGCTGTCCTTTATTGCATACATCTTTCTTTGTTTTTATCAAAAAAGTTCATATTTTGTGGAGTTTACAAGCCCTTAACAAAACTGAGATATTAATAATTGCTAAATTTTGGAATGTTAACTTGTTGTTTCTAGATGTTAACGTATTGTATCAAGATGTTGTATACATTTTATATTCCATGTCCAATCATTGTAATAAAAGGTCTAAATTGCTCATTGCATTGTGCTAATTGCATTGTGCTAATTGCATTGTGCTCACACTATCCTGGAGTATTACTTGCCACCTCTCTAAAACTAACAAGTTGTTCCTAAAATAGTAGTGTTTAATTAAAAACCTAATATGGATGATTTCTTTTGTGAAAATACTCAAATGTCATATATAGCCAACAATATGAATTCATTGCAAAATATTGGATTACAAAATATTAGGTCATTTTGTCATTGTGAACCCAACCAAGGCCTTCAAATACATCTTCTACCGTGGATCTCAATATGGTAGACTAGACAATAGTTGAGCAAATAAGAGATTGCAATTCCTGAGAGGGGAAGGAATGACTATGCTTGGATGTATCTTTGAAGTGTAATGCCTAATTGACCCTGAGAAAACATTGGATTGCAAAAGGGCCTTCTTGCCTTAGTCATTGATTAAGATCACTGCCTTGCTTCCATACCAATTGCCATAATATTTAACTAGGATGTGAGACATACTTGGATCACAGCTGAAAGCACTGATAAGCTTTTATACTGAAAAATTGTTTTATATCAAGAGCACTAATATTAGACAAATAATATGCCTTGTAGAAGAAATCCATTAGAACAAGATTAGCACATTGCACCTTTCTACAATTTTTTTAATAAAAATATTTTATTTCTTTCTTTATTTTTTTTTTTGAAATTTTGATCTATACCAAAAACATAGTTAGATGTAAATAGTTGTGATACCATGTCAATTTTTTGTCTGTATGGTTTTACCTCTATCAATTATTATTGGCATATTTTTTTCATTGCATTTAAATATTGATGCAAAAAGTGGGTTCTCTTTGTCAATGTAGATTGTGACAAAAGAACCTAAAGCAACATCAATAAAACAAATGAAGTTAGAAGTAATAGAAGCTTATTGACAATGAAAATGAATAAAATTAAGGTTGGAAGAGGGCTTTTTATGCTGGTGCCAAATGTTGATGAAAAAGACTAATAAAGATTTGATTGTTTTTTCATTCATTGTCTAGAGTGCCTCTTTCATTTGACTTATTTTTCTATAATCACTCAATTTGATAACTTCTATTTTTCATTAGAAGAGTTACTAGTGAATTGATTGTTGAAAAATGTGTGCTTATTCTTCTAAGTCATGTACTGCATCTTGCCATATATATGAATAAATAAAAATTGAATTCTTATTAATTTTTGAATTTTTTTGAAACCTCTCTATAGAAGTACAAAACTTGAATAAAAAATTTACATCCAACATAACTTGGACTTATGATTTATTTTTATTTTTATTTTTATTTTTTTTTCATTTTGCATTTTGAGTTTTGTAGCTCATAATGTTTTGTAATCAATAGTGGATTGGCTTTATGTTAACTCCTAATGAATTGAATAGATGAGTGCAAAAGATTAACCATGTGGTTATTTTAAAATCTGAAATCTGGAATTAATTGAAATCTGCAAAATCTTTTTTTTGAGTAATTTAATCTATAACTATCAAGACATATGGAGTAATAAATACATGCAGTTCTACTTTAGGAGGAATTCTCATGTCTCTCTTTCACATGTGAACTAGAGCAAATAAGTCATGGTGGTATTATATTTATATATAGATATATATATATATATATATTAGTTTTATTAATATTAATTAATATAATTAAATTATTCAAGTTTTTATTATAAGTTAAATTATTAAAATTTTACAACTTTTTTGTGGCCAACCACAAAACAACATATGATATTATTTATCTTATATAAATCTCTTATATTAAACAACTTAGGAAAATAAATGGATGGGATAAAAACGTGGCCAATGGCATGGATTTCCACTAAATACATTGTTATTGTCTTAAGGCAATTGATCGTTCTTTTTGAGACATTTGAAATATTGATTGCCCATTTGGAAGAGCTACAATATTTTTTGGTGGAGATTTTTGCCAAATATTGCTGGTGATTATGAATGGAACTCAAGAAGAAATTATAGCAAAATCTTTTTGATGTTCAATACTTTGGCCTCAAATAAAAATCCATACATTAAAAGAAAACTTAAGATTGAATTTAGGAGCACTTCAAAGAGATATCAAGTTTGCTAATTGGCTTCTTTAAGTATAGAATGCACACATATGTTGTTTATGTTAATGGTGGTCCATTTGAATTCTTTATGGTTGCATTATTATTGACTAATATTTCTATTTGCCACTTGCTAGATTGAAAATGACACAAACTTATTGCTTAATAATGTAGTTATGCTTCTTGTCATATGATTGTTGATCAATAATTAATGTCTTGAATTGATGTTACTTATCCAAGACGGGTAAAAGACGGCATAACAAATGATGCTCTTTTAATAGATAGAATCATTTTATCCATACAAAATGATGATGTAGAGGATATTAATGAAAAGATTATGTCCATATTTTCTAGGGAAGAACAAGAATATGTAAGCACTAATTAAGTTATTGTCAGAGATGGTGTCAACAACAATAATGTTTATCCAGTTGAATTCATTGAATCACTTAATCCATTTGGAATGGCCAAATCATAGCTTTGTCTTAAGATTGAAATTCCAATGATGCTGCTAAGAAATATTGCTCCTTGCAAAGGACTTTGTAATGGAATTTGATTGGTAATTATACAACTAATGGATTGAGTTCTTGAAGCAAGAATTCTTGGAGAAAAATTTGCTAGAAACTTGATGTTCATTCCAAAAATTATATTAACTTCCACAATAAAAGAACTACATTTCATTCTAAAGAAAAAAAAAAAAAAAAAATCAATCAATCTGCATTGCATTTGAAATAATAATAAATAAGTTCTAAGGACTATTAGTGAAGCATGCTGGTTTGGATCTACAACAATCTATTTTTTTCAATGGTTAACTTTATGTAGTACTCTCTTGATTCACTTCCTTCCATTTTATTATGATTCTTCTTCCTAAAAATGACAATTTAAATTCCATGCTAAATATTACTTTTTCAAAAAAATTAAATAGATAAATATTAGTAATTTATAATTTATAATTTATAATTTATTGAATATATATATATATATATATATATATATATTGTCACAAGTAGTTCTTTGAACAAAATTAACTACTTACTTTTGCATATTATCTATAACAATGGCATGGGTTTATCTATCTTACTTCATAGTTGAAAGCTCCATTGTGCATTTTATTTCTTTTTATTTGTATTGTATTGTATTTATATTTTAAAATATTCTTTGGCTCAAAAAATCCTTCATTTGAATCACACTTTTCATGACAACAACAAGGGTTCATCTAGTATGTGGGTTAATATAATATAATAAAATAAAATTTTGGTACATTTTAAGATGGGGAATGTTAAATGGATCCAAGTTTATACAAAATTGACTTACTCATCCTAACGATCATGAAATGAATATATATATATATATATATATATTTGTAGATTTATTTTTCTACTATTGGATTTGCAACCAATAAAAATCAACCACATTTATCATAATTACTATATTCTACAACAAGAATGGATCTATTTAGTAAAAACATGGATCTATTTGATATTCTTCTTTTATAATTTATGATATTTTCTATACATTAATTAATTTTACCATAAATAAATATATATATATATATATATATATATATATATTATTCTTAAAATCGTGATTATGATAATATATTCTAAATTTTTGCACATTTTGAGTTAATGAAACTTAATAGATTTTGTGATTATTTGGAAGAAATTTATTAACATTTAGTATGTTAATTGTAAATAAACTAGTGATTTGTTTGTTTATTTGCATGTACCGTTTAGCAGGTCTTAAGTATCACAATGTCGTTCAATTATTATTTTTTATTCCTCAAACAAGAACAATGAACCAAATACATGAAATGAATTGAGATGGTTGAAAAAATCACATTAAAATAGTCAATTCTTATCAGATATTTGGTTCTGAAGCTTGTAAATTGAATTCAAAGCCTATCATTTGTATTTGTATTTGTATATGTGTATTTTATTTTTATTTTTATTTTTCATGGATATAAGAAATCTGAACATATTATGCACATGGATACACTCCGAATTCGCTAATGCTCACTTCATCCAGAGTCTATACGACGGAATACATTCATCCAAATTAGTGGATGAGAAGGATGAACAACAGCACGCTTCGGAGTCAGGGAGTTGGGCTTCAAGCGAGGGCTTCACTGTTGCGGGAGCCAAACGTTCGATTCATTGAGCGGATTTTGACGACGGAGGCCTCGAAGGAATCTGATCGGCCCTGCAGCTGGTTTCGCATTCAGGTCTAATTTGGAATTTGATTTTGATCGCCTGCCTCACTCATCTTTGGGTATCAATGCGGTGATTGATTGATAGGTTGATTGATTGGTGCTTTGAAGTGGGCGTTTCGCGCACATGGTTCTATCGGAACTGGAATTCTCCCCGAATTTTTCTCCTATTCTGGGTTTCATTGATCTCTGTTTCTAATGTCGCCGGATCGGAAGCTGCTGGTGTTTAGTGATTAACTTCGTTGGTGTGGTGGGTTCGTTTTTCAAAAACAAATCCAGGTTTAGGGTTCGAATTAGGTTTTACAGTTTGGTTTCTGAGGATCTCGCTGCTTGTTGAAGTTTGTGGGTCATCGAGTGGGCTTCTCCTGATGTCGGTACGTGTTTTCCACTTTTCTATTCTTCTTCGATCATGTTTTACCTTTCGCAATTTTTACCGGGTTCGTGAGCTGATTTAAAAAATTAGGGTTTTGGTGGGAGTCTCAATTGTTTTGTGTTATTTTGGGGTATGATAGATTACGAGCTACAATGGAAGTGCACTGATTGCCATGGTGGGCAAGAATTGCTTCGCCATCGCCAGTGACCGCCGTCTGGGTGTAAATTTCCAGACGATTGCATGTGATTTTCAGCGCATATTTAAGATACACGACAAGCTTTACATTGGCCTCTCTGGACTCGCCACGGATGTGCAAACCATGTAAGAATTTGAATTGCTTTTAACGTCATTATTGTTGTAAGGCAATTGCTTCCACTTTATCTAATGTTTGGTTCTTCGCAGGCACCAACGTTTGCAATTTCGTCATAAATTGTACCAACTGCGAGAAGAGCGCAACATGCGCCCGGAAACTTTTGCCAGTCTTGTTTCGGCAATTCTTTACGAGAAAAGGTATTGTACAGGGTTTCTGGTTGTTGTTACTGAGAAAGTAATGTTGTTGCTTGTCACTTTACATTGGAACGTGTCTGAATTCTATCCTGACCGTGTACTTCCGCTATTGTTCCGGCAGGTTTGGACCTTACTTCTGCGAGCCTATTATAGCCGGACTTAACGATGACGGAACTCCTTTCATTTGCACCACGGATTTGATCGGTGCCAAGTAATGCACTTAACTGAGCTATTCTCTTCAATATCTTGATCAATTCGCGTATTTGGTTAAGTTTCGTGCTGCATAATTGTTGATTTTTTCGCGAATTACTAAGGTGTCACAAAGACCCGTTTGTTGGTAAAACTTGGCCAATATATGCAGCCAATGCAGCTTGTGAATTTTTCAAAGTTATGGAAACCTGAGAGTTTATTTTCTGATATGACCTAGGTCTTGAGAGACAGCGAAATGGCCACTTTTTGACATGAATCTCTCTCTTTATATTTTCTCCATGCCGTTCAATATTCGTTAAATCGTTTAAAATTGTTGTGCAGGCAACTGGCGAAGGACTTCGTGGTTTCTGGAACTGCCTCAGAGTCCCTGTATGGTGCTTGCGAGTCTATGTATAAACCTGATTTGGTATGTTTAGTTCTTTGCACCAATGCCTATCGTATACGTTCTTATTAAAATGTGGGGTTTATTTTCATGTCCTTCTGAATATAAGGCCTCTTTAGCGTTGGCTCTTGGAAGAGAGTATCTACCGACCTTCTGATTCGTATTTACAACCATGTTAATATTTGAAGTTCATGCAAATCAAAATTACGGTCAGTGTTAAATGCTAATGTGGGTGCGAGAAGTCCCGAATTCAAAAGCTCTGAGAACCCATTTGTCCTCAGCCACCTAAGTTAGGGTTCGCCTTGTGGGTAGAGCCTTCCAGTTGTACCATGCTTGCTAAGCTATTGTTTATAATGTGAACTTTTTGCAGGGTCCAGATGAGCTGTTCGAGGTGATCTCACAAGCTCTACTGGCGTCTGTGGACCGGGACTGCATTAGTGGATGGGGAGGGATTGTCCATGTTGTGTAAGCTTTCAATTTCCGTTTGATCTCAAGTTAGTGTTTGTTTGGTTGAATTTCTTGCGTTTTACATAAGCATCATTGCAATTTCAGGTAGCAATGTATCAAACTGGAAATGTTGCTCTTGCAGGACTCCGGACCAAGTTATTACCAAGACCTTGAAGGGCCGCATGGATTGAGTTCTAACATCTTCTGAGATTTCAATGTGCCCCTGGTCGTTTTGTGGATCAATGGTCAGCTTGGAAGGGAATACGAATCAACAGTTTATTTCTTCCTGAGATTCTGCGAGGGAATGCTTTCATGCAGCATTGATTGTTATCACTTCGTAGACCCAGATACACACACTGCTCGCGATGCAATGTAACTTGGCTTTGTTGACCCTTCCAAGATTTTCACATTGCAAGCCTTTCCTTCTCAAGTTGTTATTTGTGCTCCAGGGCCTGAAAAAGTTTTACAGCTGCATGTTTTAAATACTTCATACGTTCTGCTCTTGCATGTATTTGTTGACACATTTTATACTAGCACGTCTAGAGTTGTCTAGGTACCAAACGGGGGGAATAGGCGGGGTCGGGGGCAAAAATATTACAAATGGACACTGGTAATGATCTTCGCCAGTAGGCCTTCACGTTCGTCAAGTTGCACTGACGAGTCAACTGCAACATCAACAACGAGAGTCTGCGCTTAAGATTGTACTTTTACTAGATTCTCAACTATCGTAGAGTTTAATGCTTTTAACCTGTAAAGGTCTTCTGGAATCATTGAAGATTTTAGTTTGACACCTCAAAATGTTGCTAATTTTAAGGAGCATTCACAGATAACATGCAGGCTGTATACACTAAGCTCGTCTCTCAAATATTAGTGTATTGGTTCCCCTAAATAAATTACATCAAATTTCAAAATCAAATGTATAGTGGTACTTGTTTATTCTGTTTTAATTATGATGATTAAAGTTTAACGAATTTGGGTCCCAATCTTCATTGTTATCATTCGGTTTTTTTTTTTTTTTTTTTTTTTTTTACAAATGAATAAGTGCACACACAGACATATAAAGGAAAAAAATTATTATGAATTGCAATTGCATGATCAAGTAAAAAACTTCACAAACCTATAACTACAATGTACATTCATCCATATATGTACAACATTGTATAACTAAAATTATTTTATTTTTCATTTAAATTATACATGGATAATAGAGTTTTTTTTCAACAAATACATTAAGTTGTATACATCATATAAAAATTAAATACAAGTAATAAAAAATCAAAAATCAAAAAAATAATTTTTTAAATTTTGTTTTGATCTGATGGAGATACTTTTAACAAGTGTGTTGTATTTTTAATTGCAATCGTTGGCAATATAAAATACATTGTTGTGTATAAAAATGATCAATATATATTAATAAATAGGTATATACTAAAATTTTATTCTATAAAATTATGAAATAATTATGTATATAATCAAATAATAGAAAAAATTAAATTTATTTTAATTGGAGGTTATTAATAGAAAACAATTTAATAAATAAAAAAAAATATAGGGATTTGTTAAAGCCACACTTTCCAAACTGTGTGATGATTAATTTTGGGAGAGCAAGGACAAAAGATGGGAATTGGGAATGATACATAGAGGTTGGGAATGAGGGACTAGGGACCTAGAACAAGGGATGGAGACAAGAGTGGACAAAATCCATTATGAGATGGTGATGTGAGGTGTGGCTTTAACAGCTCCCTATATAGCAGAGAGAGAAAGAGAGAAATATTAAAATGACCCACCTATTTACTAAATTTACCCACCCTATTGTAACCATCATTATTGTTACCAACACTCACCCCAACCTCCCTCATCCCCCTTCCTTTGTTCCCAGTTGTATGAACCTTAGTTAATAGTTCTTCTCAATAATATTCTTTTCTTTAACTAATGCAATGTTGTCTTTCTCACATCAAATCCTATGACAAGGCAATGAAACTTGTAATATTCTCCAAACAACTTTGTATTCAAATCTCAAGTTTACAGCTATGCCACCCTGCATTGGAACAATCAACATTGTTGAGGGTGAGACCAAGTTTGATCCCTAAGAAACAGAGAATCTTATTATTGTTTTTTGCCTAATGCAGCTGAATGCATTTTTGATTTTGCATTATTGTTTTTTTTACTTTCCTACGATCTAATTATTTACACTGCTTTACTTGGACAAGAAAGAACAAGCATTATCCTGGCCTTGTACAGCTTTTTTATACGCAAAGTTTCTTGTCCTCCATAGATAATATATATTGTAGATGTAATTTATGTCAGATCTTTTGACCACTAGTTTTCTCATTCTAAAAATACCAAACAAAAGTTAACGATTAGTTTGCTTCCCTTTCTACCTTTTTCCTCTCGCATTGCTCACACGCTGCTGATGAGTTTTTAACTGATTCAAAATTGAATGCACGAGGAGATTCTCTGGACCTTGATGAAGTATTGAGTCTAGTAGCTGCTTGGGCGTCAAAGGTCAACATATCGTGGATTATCATCCTGAGTAGCTTGCTTATAGACCACCTGAGGTGTTGGTAGTATTTTGTTCGAACTCTCAGATGTATGCTAGCCGTGTGATGCTCGAATATTTCTTTACTCAAAACCTGATTAATCTGAATACAATGACATTGCTAACTTGTGCATCACTTGAGCGCTTGTGGTACTTAGGTATTGTATTTGTATATCAGGTTCAAGACTGGGAGCTTTTGATTGAAGTGCTTCTATATAAGATGTCCAAGGAGGCATCAAATCGTGCAATTTCTAGATTCTTGAGTCATACCAGTTGCCAATTGGGTGATTTCCTAGTGTTCAGAGACATGATCTGCGCTTCAGTTCACAAAAGAAGAAACATGAAAGCCCAGTTTTTGGGACATGGGATTGTTTCTTCAACACCATGTCCATCTCTCCTATTGACTCCCACTCGATGAAACCCCAAGGTTGTTTTGTGGATTCTTGTCTATAGCGTCAAAGAAAAAGCGTGGGTTGCATTTGCTCACAAATGAGGTTGTGGCTGAATTCAGTGCTAGAAACCGAGCTGCAACTGGAAGAACTTATGGTGCCATTGAGCTCCTGGCCGGTTGTGGTCGTCGGGCCTGGATTCGGTATTCACCTCGACAGTGTGGCAGCAACTTTGTAGTCACATGTCGTAGATTGTATATATATATATATATATATATAGCTGTGTGTGTGTGTGTTTCTTTTAATAAAATATTATAATGTATAGAGAATTCAATAAAATAAAACCAGAAATTAGGGTGTACTTTTTCATTCCATTTCTTTAAATTTTAGTTTTTAAAATTTTGATATTAAAACTTACAAAAACTAGAAAAGGCCAATTTGAAAATCTATTAAATCTATATTTTTAGAAAATGATATACTTGTTGTTATAGAATATCTTTACAAATATATTATTTCATAAAATAATAGAAATTATTAATATGTATTACAATATTATATATATATATATTATATATATATATATATATATATATATATAAACTTACTAGGAATAAAAAATCTATATTAAGATATTTTATTTAATAAACTTATATTGTCTCATTTATATTAAGTAAGATATTATTAATAACACTAAAATATTTAATAAGATGTATTGAAAAAGTGGTTGAATAAATTTATAAATATATTTTTTAAAAAAAAGAGTAGATAGGTTGATATAGAATTTAGACAATTTAATGATCACATGTTACCAATCTATAAATAAGACATAGAATATAAAAAAAATTGAAACATAAAGAGAACACAATTGTCTTTGTATATTTTTAAAAAATTGCATTATATATCTTAAATGTCATTAAATATCTAACTTTTGTATATAAAAGAAATTTAAAATTTAATTTTTTGCATTAAATGTAAACATAACTGTTTTAAATTCATAAAACTATCTATAATAATTTTTTTTAATTCTATATGTAATCTGGGATAATAATCATTTGTAATATTATTGGTAATGATGACATATAATATATTCTTCATAAAACTAAAATTAATTTATTTTATTTATTTCTAATTTTTGTGATAGAACTATACTAAAATATCAAAAAACATAATACAAAACATACAAAATTTGAAGATTATAGTATTTTTGTCCATCGATTTTACAGTATGTACTTTGATAATTTAAACATTGAAGTAATAATTTTTAAATATATAATTTTTTAATTTTTTAATTTCATAAATTAATTTGGTTTTGCTGTTAATTATAATTTTATTTATTTGGCTTTTATTTCATGTCTTCATTAAAATCATTAGTAGAAAAACTTTAAAGTACATGATTCATATGTATAAAATGAAAATAGAAAAATAGTTAAATACTTTGAGACAACAATAATGTTTTATAACATATCTATATAATTATTTATGATATAAATTATTATTATCATTATTACTATGTTTTTAAGATACAAATTTTAAAATCTAAATCTTACAAAATATGAATTTAATAAGTAAAAAATAAGAAATTTGTTACTATTACAATATTATAATATAACATTAAATAATTTAGGATTTTTGTATCTATTATATGTATATATATACACATTACATGTTTTGTATATACAACCATATATCTATATATATATATATATATATATATACTTATTTTTGATACAATTAAACTTTGACAACTTAAAGCACTTAATATTATAAATATGTATCAATTACTTTGTTTTGTTTTGTTTGTTTTTGTTCTTTTAATATGTAGATTTACATTTAGAATGAAAAAAATTAAAGAATTTTATATAGTATTCTTTAAATAATTTGAAAATATATATATTTGAAATTATCAATTTATAAATAATACTTTGGTACATGGTTTTTAAAATACCAATTTATTTTACATACTATTTTTCTATTTCACTTAGATAATTTTATAAATCTATGATTTAATAATGTATACACTATAGTGTATAATATAATAACAGATCTATTTGTTAGAAGATAAAGCTACCTCAAATCTCATGAATAATAGAATTCATGTTTGGCTTTTTTTAACACTAACTACATAATATCCATAAAAATAAATTTAAATGATGTGATTTGTATATAGAATCATTTGTTCTATGGTTATGTTCATAGATACATATAATAACATATAATACATAGTACATATATATTCACAAATTTATAAATTGGTATAAGTTAAAAAGGACAATGTTATCACAGAAGACCAAGATATGAATACCAAATATATATATATATATATATATATAAATATACTTTATTACATTTCTTGAAAAGGCATTTAATTGGATTAGAATATACTTCTACATGTTAATATTGTGGAATGTAGCCACAATGTCAAATATTTGGGGCTGTGAAATTAGGTGGTGCTTAAGGACCCAACAAACAACATTTCTTACAAGAAAAAGAAAATGACTCTGACAACACCAATGATGGCACAACATATGATATAGATAATACCGCATGAGTCTCTTTT